AGGCAAAGCATATGTTTAGACTACAAGATTTTTACTTATTAGAGAACCTGTTTTAATATACTGGTTTGGCCTCCGATTATTTATAGATCTTATAAATTTTATAATCCCTTCTTTGTAAAGTGGCTCAGATTTTTCAACTCCTGTGCACATAAAATTGAGTTGAAGTTCATTGTGCCTTTTTTTTTTTTTTAATAGTACCGGGGATCAAGCTCAAGGCCTTGCACTTGCCAGACAAGCACTTATTCCACTGAGCTATCTCCCTGGCCCCTGTGCCTTTTTTTTTTTTGTTTGGAGGAACCAGGGATTGAACTCAGGCCCCTGTGCTTGCCAGGCAAGCGCTTATTCTACTGAGCCATCTCTCTGCACCCCCCTTTTTTCTTTATCCCAATTTTGTGTTAGAGCTTCGTATGGTAATAGCATCCTGTTCAGGCACTACTGTCTAGATTTTTGCAGCTGTCTGGTGTTCACTGAAAGTAAGAATAACAAGACAAATTAAGGTCACAAACTTTGGTGAAACCCTTTAAGTTCAAATCGTCTTGATATTGTAGATTGTCCCCCTTTCAGTTTAACTTCTGCTGGACTCTCCATATTTAACTGACAGTTACCTTTTAAAAGCAGCTATTCTTACACCAGGGACAGAGTGGGGTCTTTGTCAAGGGTGATATTAGCGAACCCTAGGCAGTGTCAGGTTTGCAGTTGATGCTTAAGTTGACCAGGCTAGACAGATGTTGTGAGGCTGAGTTTGTTGAACTGACTTGAAATATCCTTTCTCTATTACACCCCTGGGGAAGGAGACAAAGGATATACTTTTAGGGCATGCAGACATTTATGGGATAAATTGGAGGCTTAAAATGTGCTGATTCCCAAGTACACTGTCTTTTTGAAGTTAGATTCCCTGAGGCCTCTTTTCATTTGCACTGATTGGGCTAAACTAAAAATGTGAGGGAGGCACAAGCTCTTTTTAGAGGGCTGCCTGGGAACTCAAATGGATCGCAGAGAAAGGTGCAGAGGTTCTGAAGGAATCAACCTTATTCTGTCCTTGAGGGTGGAAGCTCTTACCTCCCTGTGCTTCTTTTTCACGTTTCCTTACATTGCCTCTGAATTGACACTGACCATATACTTCGTCTTCAAAACTGGAGAGTTGTGGTAATGGGAAGGGTGCTAGCAATTAAGCCGTGAGTGTGGGTAAAGCAGGACATGTGGCTGCTGTTACTGTGCCCTGCAGAAAGCCCTAAGAAGATGCTTCTAATGTAGGCCTTATGCCAGAATTACAAGAGTCCATAGCTTAAATAGGGCATCAGCAGTCACTTCAGAGTCAGAACTCTGAACCACATACACAGTGTGTATTTGTTTTGCTTTGTTTCTCTCTCTCTTTTTTTGGCTGAACTGGGGATTGAACCCAGGCCCTTGCACTTGCCAGGCAAGTGCTTATTGTACTGAGCTATTTCCCCCGGCCCATTTTGTCTCACTTTAGACATTGTTATTATATGTCCGTTATCATGATAGTTGGAAGGTTAAGGATTTTAGCTATATCTTTTGTAAACTACTGTATTTTCTACTGTTAAGGTCGATCTATTCTGGTAGTCTTTTGATATCTAATTTTTGTGTGTGTGTGTTTAGAACAGGGTCTATAGGGTCCCACCTCACACATTGGACTCCTAGTGATCCTCCTGTTTTCAGCCTTCCACACGCTGGGATTACAGGTGTGCAGCACCACGCCTGGTCTAGGCACAGTCGCAGTGCATCCGGTGTTGGGGCTGGCACAGCATGTACTATGTGCCATCGAAACCCAGTTCCTGTGCTTGCCTAAGCAGGTGCTTAGTCCTCTGAGCTATATGACCAGCCCTTGATGTCTAATTTTTAATTGACCTGATTTACTTATTATCAATATGATCTGCTTCTATTAGGAAAATTTCATTTCTTCTTTAGAGTAGGGGGGGCTTAAAATTCTCACCCAAATTTATAATCCCTAGGAATCATTTGGTGCATTCAGGGGATCTATGAATTCCTGAAATAAACACATAGCCCCCCAATTTTTGGATAAATATGTGCATATTTAGTTTTGAGATCCGTATGTGTATTATGTAGGAGAGGCTCCCGAGCTTATATTAGGGTCCCGAAGTTGCGCCAAGTCTTAAAATGTTAATAAATACTCAGCTAAAGTCTTTAAGATAAATTTTAACCAGACATAATATTATCTTTATACATTTCATATCTCTTGCTTAAGTGTATTCAGTGTTTTTAAAAAAATCAATGGATTATGTGGGAAAGAAAAACCATTGAAAAAATCTCATGTGAAGGTTCATGAATGAGAACAGGTTTAAACCTGGCAACTTAACAATTATATTATCAGTTGTAAAGATAATAATGACATGATTCATAGCAACTCCCCAAAGCTTCCTTCCTTTGTTCCTTTGTGGTAGAAGTAGGAAGGAACTTCACAGCCTCATGCGTACTAAAGTGCTTTACTACTCTAAATCTCACTTTTTTCACTTAAATGTATAAGCCAAATGAATTTTTTGAGGAATGAGTTCTTACATAAAATCCAATTCTTCGTTCTCTATGATTTCTTTATTTTTCAGGGCTTATTAAAAACTTTGTCTTATGTAAGTGTGATACTGGGGCCAGGGAGATAGCTCAGTAGAAAAAGTGTTTGCCTGCCAAGCATGAGAGCCTGAGTTCAATCCCCGGTTCTGAAAAAAAAAAAAAAAAAAAAAAGTTTGATACTTAATATGTTTCTATTTCCTAAGCATAGGATTTTCATTTTTATGTAATAAGATGTTTTTGCATAATAGTTACAGGCTAAGGTTTTAAGGCCTGCTTACACTTGCTGATATTTTATTCGGAATGCCATATGGGGTGGGGACAGTGGTCATATGGTATTTTCTCCCATCAGAACGTCTTACAGTTAACCTGGCACATGCTTGTACCAGAATTCTATCACTTAGGAGACTGAAGCAGGAGGATCGCAGTGAGAGGCCAGCCTGCTAGATGTGAGACCCTGCCTCACAAAGCACTAGGAAGCCTACAGTCGGATAGTTTACATGTGTGCAAATGTAGATAGTCTATATGAAGTGTTTCATATATATCGAATCATTGAAGGTATAAACTAACTATATGTGTTAATGAATTTTATTCTTGTCAATTGTGGATTTTTTTCTCCCATTTTAGGGATAGAAATGTAAAGTTCAAATCAAATAATATAATTATTATTTCTTGTGGAACTGGGGATTGAGCTCAGGCCCTTGTGCTTGCTACGGAAGCGCTTATTCTACTGAGCTATCTTCCTGGGCCCTAAGATCAAATAATTCTTTGCATAATTTTTATCTTAGTTTTTCTACTGGGAGCATTTCTAGATTAGCAAGTGGTTATGGCTGCAACTGTAGGGTGATAAAGATGAGAAAAAAAGAAGGAACGAAGGTAGCACTGATTTTAAGAAACACAGTGGTGTGTGACTTCACATACTTGATTCGTCTCACGATTCTGGAAGCTGGCCGCCTTGGTGCTGGCGAGTCCACAAACACAAGCCCAATCTGCCACACCCCTCTGCTTGCACACTTAAGGTGTTCACACACAAGTATTCGTGAACTGAGGTACCTCTGTGTCTTCAGTACGTTAATGTTTTTCCAAGTTGTGAAACAATTCTTTTATCCCCTGCTGCTGTTGTAGTAAAGCCTAGAAGCAGAGAAAATGCTAAGAAATAGCAGATACATACTTTTTTCCTCACAAAATGTCAAACACCTTTTTTTATATACCTGGGAAATATGGAGGAACTGATATATCTCTGTTTCAGCTGAGGAAACAGTGAAATGATAAATTTTTACTCTTCATACTCCATGTTCAGGTCTTAATCCTAAATTCTTGCTCTCTGGTGTTAGATTTGCTGGCACGGGATTATCGCAGAATCGGACACTTCATTTGCAGAGCTTTCTGCACAGTGACAATGAAGTCACTTGATTTAAAAAAATGATTAATCGCTGAGAGAGATAACAGAATATGCGCCCGAAGGCGGGGCTTTTCTGAGAGTACTGTGCACTGTGCTCCTAGTGCCTCTGCCTGCCTCCCAAGCCCGTGTGCCAGCCCGGCCTCAGTGTATGCAGCCATTCGTAACGGAGAGCAATTCAGCTTTTGATTAAGCTAAAGGACTAGAAGACGCAGGTGTCAGCAGCGATGGCCCAGTGAAGAATAATTTGACATTAGAGTGACCTTAGCCAAGGCTCAAAGAAAAAAATTGGAAATAAAAAAATTCTTCTTCAAAATAAAATTAAAGTTCCCTAAATTTCTTTCAATGCCTTTCTTCATCTTTCCTTTTTCTTCGTGATTTGCCGATGCAGTGGACATACTGATTTCCTGCGCAGTCTGTCACTTAGGAAGTGCAGAAATATGACCTAGAATGTCTTAAATAAGAAACAGAATGAGATTGTAAGATTTTACCTTCTCCTGCCTGATGCACTGATTATAGATTTTCTATGATGGTGTGTCTAGAAAGCTAGAGAGGTGAATGGATTTAGGAACAGCGGCTAGGAATAAATTGTTTACAAATCATAGGAGAGGCCACTTGGACCTCCTCTATGCTAGCTGATTTTTCTTGTAAATCACCAGGCCTGTTTATCTTGCCTTAGTTAAATTGAATGTGATCACTGTATTTTTTCCATGGAGATAAAGCAAGATAGTCATCATTACAGTGTTTATTGAAGTAAAAGTTTGCCCGTGATTACCTGGCCTAACAGACTTGCAGTAAGGGCTGTCACTTTCACACACTCTTAGGAAGATGCCACTGTTTTTTTTTTTTTACTTTGTGTTCTATTTGTTTGGAAAGCCAAAGCATGTTTGCTTAGTAAACAATTTATTAATTTTTTTGTTCTAAATATGACATAGTAGAAACATTTCTGAGATTATGCTGCTCGAAAGTAGCAAAGGAAAGAGTTGACTTTGCTTTGTTGTGCCCCCTTATGTCAGTCTCTTTTTCATCTGCCTTTTTGTTTCTAATTTAATTTTAGAGGGCTGCTGAAGTACCAAACCAACTTAGACACTCACCCTCCCGGCTGCGTCTTTCTTAACCAAACCCACTCTCAGGAAGTTTCCTTACCAGAGCTTCTCTCAGAGCATTTTCATGAACCTTTACCTGGAGGATTTTCAAACCCAGAAGAGTTTAACCAAAAAACATTCGTGAAGATTTGTGTGGAAGAACCCAGGTTTCAAGCTAATTTTCCACAGGTCAGATTAATTCTGTATCTGGTCTTTACAAGGTCTGTGATTTAATAAGATTGATCAATATCACATTTAAACATATTTTTGATACTGCATATTCTTACATAGCAGGATGCTTTAGAATATTTCAGTATCAAGTTAGTACTAGTTATTCCCTCATGGGTATCTGAGAGTTCAAGGCAAAAGATCTATTATATTTGAGAATACACGAAATTTAAACTGATCATATGATCTTTGCATATTATGATGTTAGTGCTCCCTGTCAGAAAGATAGCAAGTGCATTTTACCAAACCATTGAAAAGCAGCTTGGGTAATAACATAGTACTAAAGCAACGACTACTGCTACTACTACTATAAATTATTATATTATAGTATATTGCATTATATAGTACATCATATTTCTGAGAGCAAATTGCAAAGTTCATGTGTTAATATTTAATATCTGTTAGCATTATTCAGTGCACTAATGTGTTCTGTATGCATTATTTTTAAATATTCACAATGACTCTTTGAAGAAAATTGCATATTTTCTTCCCTTTTTTAAGTGTACTTAGTACAGTGTCTCACTACGTAGTTCAGACTCATAGTGATCCTCCTGTTTTCAGCCTCCCAAGTGCTGGGATTTCAGGGTGCACCACCACGACCAGTCTCAGTCACTGTCTCAGGGCGCCCCGGGTGGGGCCAGCGCAAAGGATGGAGATCAAACCCCTGGTGCCTGCATCTGCCTAAGCAGACACTTTAATCCCTGAGCTATCTGGCTGGCCTGAAAAGTGAATATTTTCTGCTGAAAGAATTCTGTTTACATAAATAAAATACCTTGACCAAAACCTCTAGATTAAGAAGTGGTAGAGTGAACATTCAACTACCCACTAAAATGTTTTGCTTCTTGAAAGCTTCGCTGAATACGCAGTAATCTATTAAAGGCCCTGATTTCCCATGTGACTGTGAGAACTGCTGATGTGTCAGTTACACCTGTACTATGCCTAGGGAAGGTTGGGAATAATGATGTCAAGTCTGCTTCCAGAAGAGAAGGAAGAAACACAAAACTAGTGTAGATTTGAAGGTGGCTTCGGAACAAGCGTGCTAGTGTTGTGTTTGTCATTTATAGCAATCCTTTACGTACCTGTTAGACTTCAATATTTTCAATGCTTATCCAAACTTTCCATAATGCCGAATGTCAGGACAGGCAATTCTGATGACTCCCACCTACTTACTCATCACCTGATGATCAGAGGCTGACTGTCCCAAAGCCCGGGGCTGTTGGGGTACAAAGCTCGTCCTACAAGGTCTGCTCTTCATACCGTGTCAGCTAAGTGTCTCTGCTGTAGAAGAGTCATGATCTGAGAATGGTCTGGAAAGACTGTGTAAATAAGATTTAAATAGTGACTATTACGAGTTCAATGGAAGTCTCAGGGTGATGTAGAGGTAGCGTATGCGTGTGCAGGGGAGTGGAGCCCTAGCAGGCTTCTGGACTTCCTAGTTCAAACTGTCACAATATTGATATATGATTTTCTGTTCATATTACATTATACAGATGTAAGTTTAAACACTTCTATCATATCCCATTTTACAACATATGTGTAGGTTGTGTGTATACATTATACATTATGCAAATTGAAATATCTAGAGGATATTTTTTATGAAGCATTAAACTAGTAAAACGGTGGCCTTTTCTCCCTCTGAAAGCTAAAGCTTTAGCTTGCCTTTATCCCCTTTTACTGAAGGACATTTCATATACACATCATGCATTTATGTCCACGGAAGTTGAAAGCATGAGCGTTTGCCATCATGCAGGGTGTGTGCATTTGAGGTTGGGTCTTGATGGTACTTTGTCTTTTATGCTTTAGTGTTTGTGAGTGAGTCAGTCAGTGTTCATCATTTTTTATTCATCCATTTGCATGATACAAATAAAATATTGGTAGAGAAATTTGTAAAATCAGCAGTTAAGCACGATGCAGATTCCTACAACTCAAATATTGATTGAAGTACATTTTCAAAAACTCTTCCTTAGACTTGGCTTTGGATTTCTGGGCCCTTGTGCCTGTACTGTGCCGAAAGGCTTTACAGGTGCATCCGAAGCAACAAGCCAGTCACCATCATCGCGGTCATCAGTCACCCATCCGATGTCATGGAAATCCGAATGGTCAAAGAGAATTTTCAAGCCAGACCTGGCCAGGTTAGTCACGAGACAGCAATGCTAAAAGTACTCTTTATCAGAGGGTCATTCATCATTTTAAAAACTTAGTAGACATAACATCATTCGGATAGTTAAGTTATCTTGGTCAATTAAATTGTTTCTTTTTGTTACTTTTGTAGTATATTATTCTACATTGTCCCAGTGTGTCTGCATTGGAAAGCCATCCTTTTACTCTCACAATGGTAAGATTTCCCAGATTTTAGAACACAATTCATTGTTCTGGATGTGTGCACGCGGGGGTGCTGGTGGTGTGCTTTATCTCATTTTTAAAATTATAAAAGTCAAGACTTTCCCAATACGCTTAATGTTTAACTGAGCCATTTTTTTAAAATTAAGAAATACAGCCATCTGTTCAAAACTTGTGTAATTATTCTTTATCATTATTTTATAACATTCTAATACTGTGAGTGTATGATTTACTTTTCTGTTGTTAGGGCAAACTAAAGTCTGGTGTAAGTGACTTAAAAAGAGGAAGAATTAATTTTGACTTACGGTTTTTGAGGGTCTGCTCATGGACAGCTGGCCTCCAGAGAGGAGCTTCGGGAGGGCGGGGCGTGTTAGAGAAAGCCGCTCAGCCTGTGGCAGCCAGGAAGCAGAGGCGCAGAAACCCTTCCAGATCGAGCTCTGCCCTTCCAGGTCCCGTCGGCAGTGACCTCTGCCAATGGGCCCTGCCCCTGCAGCGCCTTGATCTGTGGCTTTATCAAGGATTAATTCACTGATGAGTTCAGCACCCGCATAAGCGAATCACCTTCCAAACACTTGACTTCTGAGCACATGAAACGTTGGGGACTCATTTTAAATCAAAACTATAAGCAATGTACTAAAATTTTATTATTATTGTTTCAAAATATATAAAATTTATTAGATGTTTTTATTTTTTATTTCATAAGTGGAATCTAATATGTGCACATGTAGAGAGAATTTAAGGAAAAAGAGAATACTCTGGGTTGATGTAAAACATTAGAAAAAATCAGTGGAGTATTTAGAAAGAGTGTGACCTAATGTCATTGGCTACTAGGCTACATATGGGAAAAATAAACTTAGCAAGTGGATAAACTGGGATGAGAAAAAAAGGGCGAAAGAAGAGAAAACTATATATTTGTGTATGTATATAGGATAGCGTGGATGATTACTCTGCTGATTTCTTGAAAGGAGCAGCTAATGCTTAAAATTTCTTCTCTTCTTAAATTTCTTATAACTTTTTTCACCAATTTTATATATTTATATCTGATAATCTAAACAACTAATTTGAAGATAACATTAGGCAATACAACAACATTTGTTGAATTTTTTTTTTTCTTTTTCTGTTTTTTGTGGAACCAGGGATTGAATTCAGACCCTTACGCTTACCAGAGAAGCGCTTATTCTACTGAGCCTTCTCCCTGGCCTCGTTTGTTGAATTCTTAATAATTTGTTTAGTGAAATTGTGTATCATTTCTCATGTTTTCTGTTTTTTAATATTTTTACCATTTTCTATTCTCTTAAAAAAAAGAAAATGGAAATGGATATCAGGAGTTAAGCTATGCAGATAGTTGGCAACATTAAATATGCTTAACCTGGCAGGATATTTAACACCTTTTGCATCATGAAAATAATGTGAGCCCATTATAAAAATTCCAATAATTCATACATAAAAGATAATGTAGAATCATTTGTTAATTTTCCTTGCTTCCCAATCCAAAATTTGTTATATGTGCTTTTAAGTCTTTTTTTATGTTATAAAGAAAAACAAAATTTCAGAAGAAAGTAAGAAGATAGCAATAGTTAATATTCTGTATCATTATTTTCAAAGTAGCTATTCTGACTATAAGACATAAAGTAAAAAGATTCTTACAACAAATAAACAACAGATAATAATACAAAATTTTCTTTTCAAAAACTAAGATTAAACTAGTATATATGGAACAAATTAATATATACATTTATTATTTTGAAGTAAAGGGATATGTAATTAGTGAATCACATTGTTCTCATTGGTTCCTTTCCTTCAACAATAAATCATGGGCAATTTTTCTTGCTATGATATTTCTATATGGCTCATTATTTTTAATGACTACATAATACTTCACAATAGAAAAATAATTTACTGAATTGTGTCATTAATGGCTGGTATTTGAGTTTTATTCATCTATAAAGATAAAAAGAATAAGGATTAAATAGTTAAATTTGGGACCAGGGAGAAGGCTCAGTGGAATAAGCGCTTCCCTGGCAAGCACAAGGGCCTGAGTTCAATCCCCAGTTCTGAAAAAAAAAAAAAAAAAAAAAAAAAAAAAAAGCTAGTTAAATGTAAGCATAAGAAAAAGGGGGTGGGTTAGGGATATAGCTTAGCAGCATATTCACCCAGCTGGCAGGCGCAAGGTCTTGAGTTTGATCTCTGGTACCCCCCCCAAAAAAAGAAAGAAAGAATAAGGGGGGGGGGGCAACAACATAATTGAAGTCACAATGCTGAGATTTGGGGGTGGAGTTTTACCCAACATTGGAGTCATTTTCAAATTGAGTAGACTGTACTAGTGTGAAGAGTCCCAAACCCTGGGACACATCATTTCAGTTTTCATGCATTTCACTTCTGGTATAATGCTGGGATGAGAACGTTACCGAATCCTAGTTTGTGGCAGGTTTTCCTGGACTCCTACACGTCAGGCACGCAGCACAGTTCCCCGAGTGTCGCGGACGTGCTATCCGTACAGACAGAAGTTAATCGTTCTTATGAATTTTATTATCAATGTGAGTTTACATCTTGAGAACATACACTTGTGGACACCTCCAGGCCAGATAGTATGTAGTGTTAGAATAAAAGAGACATATAGAATCAGATGGCTAGAAGAAAATCAGGGCTCATTCATTGAATGACATTTCCTAAAAAAGACATAAAAGGTATTTTTTGCTTTATTTCCTTCAAGATTTGTAATTGTACGTAGCAAACTTGTCTCTAAATGATTAAAGGAAATTAGTTTAGCATCTAGGGAAATGATTCCATTTGGCTGTGTTGTTGTGTGTTTTTGAGACAGAGTTCTTACTGTGTCGCCAAGACTCTTGACTTCTGATCCTCTGCCCTTGACTTCCTCGTAACTGGGATTGTGGGTGTGGCGTGCACTGTGCCTGCCTGGGCAATATTCTGTTTTATCAAGGAGGCTGGCACCAGTGCCCCCCACAGGGACAGAGTTAACTTATGGTTGTTGTCCAACATGGATGACGAATGGTTGTGGATGTGCTTTCATCTGGAGTTGTGTGGGTGGCCGAGAGGAGTGTGAGTGGAGACATGTTGTCATCAGAAACAGTGTAGCACACCTGGACTAGAAAAATAGGAAGCCGAGAGTTCCTGGGACACTACGGTCCCTGGGATGCGAGTGAATGTGCCCTGTCTACTACTCCTCCGGCATGTGCAGGTTTATCTTGTTCCACGAGAACAGCAGGAGTCTCGGTGCATATAACCGACTGCCAAACCCTTGAGTGTGGGCTTGTGGTTGAACTGTGTTTTCATTCTGACAGTTGCAAGACAGTTTCTATTTCTAGATCTATAAATATGTAGCAAAGAAAAAATTGAAAATGGAGAAAAAAGTTTGTCTTTCTTTAAGTACCTACGTAAGAGAGCTGGTCTAATTTTGCTATCAGAAAAAATTTATTTACAGAAATTAATCTTTAGCTGTGTGTTTAAGATTTTATTCTGAAAATTGCTTTACTAGCTAACATTAAGTAGTGAATATGGGATAACAATAAATGCAATCGCTGAATGCTGAGAAGAGGAGGGTTTTTCTGCGCATGGTATGGTGTACCTCTCAATCAATTTCAACAGAAACAGAATCTGCTTTTGCTTTTAGTATATGTGCTTTGAAAACTTTCATGTTCTCCTGAAACAAAAGTAAAGGATTTTTTTGTTACTTCTTATGCACATGGTCTAGAGCTCTCTCGAGCTAATATACTTGAGCTGTTAGATGGCAAAAATAAGAAATGCCAAAGAAATGGAGTGCAGATTCCGAAGGGCACAGGCAAGTACCCCGCGTGGGGAGGCTCCTGTTTCACTGTTTCAGTGTCCGAAATGCAATGACCCTGCAGCAGACTCCACAGGTGCGAGGGAAAGTTACAGAAAGAGGCCAGCTTCACAGAAGGACCTGGAGGTGGTTACAGGTTGAAGGACACCAAGTTATATGTGGAATAGAATAGGTAGTGCATGTGTATGTAAAAACAATGAACTTTAAAATTCAGTCCCAGCTCTGTCCCTTATACTGGTTCTGTGTCTGGAAGTGTATCTTCTGGCATTGCTAAGCCTCAATTTCACTCTGCAAAATAGTGCTGGTGACCTAGTAGGAACCTGACCTGGTGGGACTGACCCAGTAGGAACATCAGCAATTCCAGTTTGGCTTTGAGGATGGAGTTACTGCAGCCATTTGGAAATCTGACCTGTATATAAAAATTCAATTTTTTTCTTACTCTGGGGACTCAAAGGCTGTACCTAAAACTAACACATAAAAAGTTTTAGGAAAACACTGATTCAGCGTAACTAAGATATTCTAATCAAGGTCAAGAAATTACCAAAAAAGCTCTCATGGGAGTGTTTCTAAAGATGTTTATATAAGATCTGGTTCTTTCAACTTTGGCATTATTGACATATTGGGTCAAATAATTCTTGGATGTACATCATAGAACACTTAGCAGCCACTCATCCTCGACCCACGAAATGCCAATACTACCTGCCACTTGTGACTACTTAGTACCTCCAGACATATGCTGGTACCCTGTGTGAGACACTATTACAGAGCTGAGAACCACTGAGCTACAACAGTCATTGTCTACCATAGCATAAACTGCTCACTGACTCTATGGCGTTCTCTTTGAGGCCACTGTGGGAAGAGAGAACTTAGGACAGTAGAGAATGTGGAGGGTGAGGGTGCTTAGGTCATGTTCTGGGGATGCTGACGCTGTATCAGAACCGTTCACTTTTAGCTAGTCTGCACCATAGGATTCTGACTCATAGATGTGTATATTGTCACCTAAAATTACATTTTGATTACTCAGAATCCTTCGTGAAATTCCATAAAAATTAACTTGGTTATCATGAGTTCTCGAATACCAGCACATGGTGAAAGAGAATTTGACAACTTTTAAAATTCAGAATATATTTTTTCGTAGTTAATATCATCAATTCTAAAATAGGAATCAAAGAAAAATCAGAACAGCAGTAGGA